AATCATGACATGGAAAATCTCCCAGTTTCTCTGGCTTGATACTTTAAGATATCATTACATGCCTATGATACTATCGAAAAGGAATAAAAAGATAAACCCCAGTAAAGGTAGTACGGGGTGGAGCAGAGGGGATATTTACATTAACTCATGGCTGCTGGTACTATCAACTGCTTCAACCTTTCTTATGTTAAAGACAAAACATTTGGCCAGGAGTCATGGCTCACACCTGTAATCCCAACACTGTGGGAGGCTGAGATGGGAGGATCGCTTGAGTCCAGGAGTTCAAGACCAGCCTGAGAAACACAGCAAGACCCCATCTCTATTAAAAATAATAGCAATATGGCCAGGAGCCATATTATTATAATATGGCTCATGCCTGTAATCCTAGCACTTTGGGAGGCCGAGGTGGGTGGATCATAAGGTCAGGAGTTCAAGACCAGCCTGGCCAAGATGGTGAAACCCCCATCTCTACTAAAAATACAACAGTTAGCCAGGCATGGTGGCCGTGAGCTGAGATCACGCCACTGCACTCCAGCCCAGGCAAAAGAGTGAGACTCCGTCTCAAAAAAATAATAATAATAGTAATAATTTTTAAAATAAAGAAAAAAGTATTCATGACTCTTGTCTTGCTAAAGACAGGTAGGAAGACCTTATTCCAGGGGGGTTACCACCATGAGGCTTTGCTGTGTGAGAGCGAGATTGGGCTCAGTCTCACTCTACCAAGGACAAGCAGGATGTGCAGTCCAGTAGCAAGGGTGCCGGGTGGGTGGAAAATGACTAAGAGGAGACGCTGAGGAGAGGGGATGCTTGCTCGACCAACTCAGCAGGAATCTTGCTGAAAGCAGGCCAGGGTAACAAGATATCGAGAGTGGAGGATGAGGAATTTGATCAAATATTGAGGGTGATCACATAGGATTTTCACTAAACTGACCCAGCAGGACTCTTGCTAAACCTGAACTAAACAAGCCGAGGACAGAGCCCAAGGTCAGCGCCTCAAAAGCTTAGTGGAGTAGAGTTAGGTCGAGAAGAGGGTCTGTCACCCGACAGCCATCTGATCATACAAACCAAGTAGCTTTTCTCTCCTTTGTCCAATAACCTTTCTCTAAGCACTGTATCCCGAGGAAAGAAGGCAAAGGTTAAAAAACAAAGAAAGAAAAGGAAAAGTCAGTGGTGTCAAGATACTCAGCTGCACTATTTTTGTTTTGTTCTGTTTTTTGAGACAGAGTCTCACTCTGTTGCCCAGGCTAGAGTGCAGTAGTGTGATCTCGGCTCACTGCAACCTCCACCTCCCAGATTCAAGCAATCCCCATGCCTCAGCCTCCCAAGTAGCTGGGATTACAGGTGCGCACCAGCACGCCCAGTTAATTTTTGTATTTTTAGTAGAGATGGGTTTTCACCACGTTGACCAGGCTGGACTGCACCATTTTTTAAAGAAAATGTTGTCAGTAGCCCCAAAACCTGACAACAGGATCCCAAGTGAACAAAGGTTGGTAAATTGCTGCCTCTTGAAGCAGTTGAAGCTGAATGCTGGGAATCGGGAGCCAGAACGCTTGGGTTCCAGCTCAGCTCCTCCAGTTACCAAGTGACTTTAACCTCTCTCTGCCTCAGTTCCCTACCCGTAAACTGAGGATTATTTATACTAATTCCTGCCTCAAGAACTACCTCCAAGCTTCAGTGAGATCGTGGCTATTTCCCAGTGCCTGGACTGTGGGAAATGTCCTGTAGCCATGAGCTACAATCAACCACCGCACACCCTTTCCATCCCAAATCAACCACCGCACACCCATTCCATCCAAAATCAACCACCGCACACCCTTTCATCCAAAATCAACCACCGCACACCCATTCCATCCAAAATCAACCACCGCACACCCATTCCATCCAAAATCAACCACCGCACACCCTTTCATCCAAAATCAACCACCGCACACCCTTTCATCCAAAATCAACCACCGCACACCCATTCCATCCAAAATCAACCACCGCACACCCATTCCATCCAAAATCAACCACCACACACCCTTTTATCCAAAATCAACCACCGCACACCCATTCCATCCAAGTGCTCTATGAGATCGGGGAGAAAACGGAAACCTATGTGGGGTGACCCAAGGAGCTCCCCAGCAAAGCGGGATTGAGGTACAGAGCCAAAAACCAGAGGCAGAGTTACCCCAGCATGGCTGGGATGTCCTGAGAGGAGCAGGAGCAGACCTTTCATGCCATCTCCAGACCAGGCCCAGGCAGTAAGAGGATGAACAGGACCAGGAATTTGCACAACCCCGGGGACCGACAAGAGAACCTGCAGAACCATGGACCCAGACCTGCAAGCCACCAAGATCTGCGCCGGCCCCAAGCACACCCCAAATGCACCCCAGCAGAGGCCTGGCCAGGCCCCTGGACCACGGCCTCAGCCCCTTACTCAGGCCCTGCCTCCCTGGCGGCCCTCTGGAACCCCACCCCACAGCCAGCTCTTGCTTGAACTTAGCAATGCCCTCCAGGCCTGGAATTCTATTATCAGCTTGAACTAGGTCCCGCTGAGAGTGACAGGAAACCAAAATAATGGAAACGGCAACGAGGCAGAGTGTGTTGTATTCTCCCTGTGAGAATGCAGCCTGGAGCTGAGCTACTACACAGGACGCTGGGGACCAGGCCCGTTCTGCGCACCCCGGCCATCCCCAGGGAGCCCCTCATCAGGCGGCTCAGGGTGGCTTGCCAGCCAGAGGCATCAGATGGAGGAAAAATCAAAAAAGAAGAGAAGCAAAGCTAGCTTCTGGAGAATGTACAGGACATTCTCCTTTTGCCCCATTGGCCAAAATGTGGTCACGTGGCCATGCCTTGCTGCAAGGAATGCTGGGAAATGTAGTCTTTCTTCTTAGCAGCCATCTTATCATGGAGAACAGATATTAGGGGACGACTAACCAGCTCTCCCACAGCGGAAAATCCAGACTCCGCCATGGCCTACAGGCTCCTGGTCGACCCCCTCGGGAGCCCGGGTGCCTCCCGTCCTCCATGCCTGGTCCTGCCTGAAGCCTTCCTGCCCTCTCTCCTGGCTCCATGCATCCTGTGGGCCTCCCCCAACGCTGGTGCCAGCAAAGCCTGATCTCCTCTCCTGAAGCCGCCTGCACTCCCCCTGTGCGTGCATCGCAACCTGTGTCCCTGACACACAGGGATTCTTACCCTCCCCAAGGTCTGTGCTCCCCAGGGAGGAGCCACAACCTCTGGGCGCCCTGAGCCCCAGCCCTGCAGAGGAGGCACCCTACGTGGTGGTTGTAGGCACCGGGCAGTCACTCCATCCTGGTTTTCAGCCTTTGGTGCACAGAAGCGTGAAGAAGGAAGGTCACTGGCACGGAGTCCTCCTTCAGAGTGTATTCCAGTCAGCCAGGCAGGGGCGGCCGGGGATCCGTACCAGTGGTCCCTGCCCACCTGGGTCAAGAAAGGCTGGCTGGCCTGGGGAGGCTGTGGACAGCGTCTGCGGTGTCATCTGAGTGCCACGGCCATCGCTTTGAGATGGCGTCTGCTTGCCGCAGCCGGGCAAAGGTCTTAAGGAAGGCTGGGGCCACTGTTGGCAGGTGTGTGGCTCCAGATTGAAATTGTGACAATACCCCCAGCCACGCCCTTCCGTCTTCCCACCATGCAATCCAGTGCACCACCTCCCACCATGCAATCCAGTGCACCACCTCCCACCATGCAATCCAATGCACCACCTCTCAGCAAAACCTCCAGGATCCACCTCAAACCCAGCCCCATCCCACAGCCACCACCCTGGTCCAGGCCACCAATAGCTCCTGTTCCGACACAGGCAGTCACCTCTCCAGGGAGCACCCAGTGTTCATTCTGCCCTCATTCTGGTCCAACCTTCACCCACAAATGGAGAGGGCTTTTTTAGCATTAGATCAGTTCATGTCACTCTCTTGCTTAAAACCCACCCCTGGCTTCCACTGCCTGGCATGAGAATCACCGTCACCTGCCCCATGGGACCGGCCCTGCCGCCCCTGCCACCTGCCCCATGCCCGCTCCCCTGGCTCATGGTCCCCCAGAGTCACTGACCTCCACTATCCTCTCAGCGAAACCCAACCAGCCACCACTGAGTGCCGCCCCACCCACTCCACCAGCCTCCCCATCACAGCTTTTTGCCTTCCTTTCTTTTGGGAAACTCTTTTTTTTTTTTCTTCTTTGTTCATTTTATTTTCTGTGTCCCCAACTCGAATGGAGGCCACCAGGATCATTGTCTATCTCATTCACTTCTGTGTCCCCAGAACCTAGAACCATGCCTGGCACACAGAACGTGCTTAATAGGTGCTGAGACAGAGACATACAGAGAAGGAAAGAGGGAGAGAGACAGAGAGAGAGAGAATAAGAGAAAGGGGAAGGAGAGATGGCAGAGAGGGAGGGAGGGAGAACTGCACGCTGAATCCAGGGGTTCCTCTCCCACCTCTCATGTGCCCATGGTAACAAGGGAGTCCCCCTCTTCTGACCCCTTGTCAAAAAGCCCATCAAGCAAGAACGCCGGAGCCCCAGGCCCCCTCTGAAATTCCCAAGAAGGAAGCACCCCAAGAAGGAAGGCACGCAGGACGCTGCTCTGGAGCCATCGGGTTTCGGGTCTGCTCACCAAGCTCCAGGAGCCCCTTAACAGGAGCAAGAGGAGAAGAAGAGGCACCCAGCCTGGGGTTCCCCCCGGAAAAGGCCATGCTGTGACCCAGGCTTGGTCCTGGCCCTGACCATGGGAAGCCTGCCCCACAGGCCCTCACCCAGGCAGACCTGAGGCCCATGCACCGCTAGAGGCCTGGAGGGGGGTTCCACCCCACCCTCACCTGGGTCCCCTGGGGTCAGGGTGAGCTGGGACAGAGGGACCACCGGCTGCTACGGGGGAGGGAGAGGGCACAACTTTCCTGGTGGAACGGGCTCCTGCTGTGCTCTGAGCCCTGGGTCACTGTCCACACTCTGGGGAGGGAGGGAGGAGCCTGGAGCCCCAAGGGCACGGCTGGCAATAAAGGCAGATGCTCAAGTTGATGCCACCCCACGCACGTGAGGCTGGGATCAGGGGTGGCACTGACCCGGCTGGGGAGCCCACTCCCGAGGTACGACCCAGGGATGTGCACAGCCACATTCCAAAGACGCACGGGATGAGATCAGCCCGGGTGACCCTGGGACTTTGCCCTCCTCGGCAGGAGCCGGTCCTAGGCACCCTGTGTGCCTGTCCATCTGGAAGGCCCAGCATGAGAGGCCCAGCCATCCTCCTCACTGTGGCTCTGGCCGCGCTCCTGGCTCCCGGGGCCGGGGCACCGGTACAAAGTCAGGGCTCCCGGAACAAGCTGCTTCTGGTGTCCTTCGACGGCTTCCGCTGGAACTATGACCAGGACGTGGACACCCCCAACCTGGATGCCATGGCCCGAGACGGGGTGAAGGCACGCTACATGACCCCCGCCTTTGTCACCATGACCAGCCCCTGCCACTTCACCCTGGTCACCGGTGAGTACCGCCCCAGGATGGGGCCTGGGGGTGGGAGGGCCTGAGAAACCAGGTGGCATAGAGCCCTGTCGTGCAGGATAAAGGGGAGAGGTCCTCATTCCATGCACAGGACACAGCCAAGGGGACCATTAGGAATCCTCACCGTTGGTAGCAACAGATCCGGGACAAAGAAAAATGACCAGGGGGGTCCTTAAAGCCGTGGCCGCAGCCAGGGCAGCAACCCCAGAAGGCTTCAGGAGGAAGGTAGCGTGGTGGGCTCCCTGATGACTCCCACGGCTCCCCTCCCCTGCCTGCCCCTCCAGCTGGCTGTGTCAGCCTCTCCCTCTCCCTTCCATCTTTTCCATTTCCCACCCAACACCTCCCTGACAGATCTGCCCAGGCTGTAGACAATACACACATAGGTTTTTTAAAAGCCAAATATGGGGCCAGACGCAGTGGCCCACGCCTGTAATCCCAGCACTTTGTGAGGCTGAGGCAGGCAGATCACTGGAGGTTGGGAGTTCAAGACCAGCCTGGCCAACATGGCGAAACCCCATCTCTACTAAAAATACAAACATTAGCCGGGCATGGTGGTGCATGCCTGTAATCCCAGCTACTCGGGAGGCTGAGGCAGGAGAATTGCATGAACCCAGGAGGTGGAGGTTGCAGTGAGGTGAGATCGCACCAGTGAACTCCAGCCTGGGTGACAAAGCAAGACTGCATCTCAAAAAAAAAAAAGGGAGGCTGAGGCAGGAGGATTGCTGGAGTCCAGGAGGCAGAGGTTGCAGTGAGCTGCAGAGGTTGCAGTGAGCTTCGATCACGCCACTGCACTCCAGCCTAGGCAACAGAGCATAACCCTGTGTCAAAAAAATAAACAATATTAAAATAATAAAAAGCCAAGTACCGCCAAAAAGGTGTTAGAGAGTTGAAAAGCAAACACCCCTGGCCCTCCCTAAGGGCTTGCCCACCTCCCAAACCTGGGTCATCCTCCAAAGACCCTGCGTGGGTGTCCCAGAGCCCCTGCAACAAAGAACTGCAGACTGGCTTAAACCCACAAAAATGGATCCGCATGCTTCTGGAGGCCAGAAGGCCAAAACCAGGGCGTTGCAGGGCTGCACCCGCCCCAAAGGCTCTAGCAGAAGAGGCTCCCTCCTCACCTCTTCTGGCTCCCGGGGCCTCCGCAATCCTTGGCATTCCTGGGTTGGTGGCAGCATCACTCCAACCTCTCCCTACGCCTTGCCAGGGTCTCTCCCTGTGTGTGTCTGTATTCAAACTTTCCTCTTCTCACAAGGACACCAGTCGCTGAATTTAGCGTCCACACTTCTCCAGTATACATCCCCTTACCCTAGCTAATCACACTGCAAAGACCCTATTTCCAAATAAGGACACATTCTAAGGTTCCAAGTGAGCATGAACGTGGTGGGACACCGTTCACCCCAACACAGGCGGCTGATCCCCACACCAGCCTTTCTGCAACCTCAGCCCCTTCTAACCGCAAACGGAGGTGTGCAGTTCTCCCGTCCGTGCGCCACCTGTTTCTCTGTATCACGGATGAGGACGGAGGGACCTTCTCCACTTCATCTCTCCATTTGCACCTTTTGGGCTTAATACCATGTGCACGTGTTTCCTGTACAAAAATAAATTCAAAAAATCTCCTGGTTCACTGAAATTCCTGCCCGGGATCTCATCTGATGGCTGGGCTGTCATTTATTTAATAAGTGCCTTCCTGATGGCCATGGGGGTCACCCGCAATCTTTTGCTAAAGCAAACAAGTCTGCCACCAGGATCCCCGCACATGCATTCGTGCCTATGTGCCCGTCCAGCTGCGGGACAAACTGAAAGTGGAAGTGCAATTGGTACAATAGCTCAAAGAACACGTGTCTATTTGTCTCGGACATGACCTCGAACCTTGGCTCCCACGGGGCAGTGCAGAAAGAAGTCTGCTCCTCCCAGCCCTGCCCCAGGCCCACTCCCCACCCAGCACACAGGGAAACCGAGGCGGCTTTGACTTCGCCTCTTCCAGCCCTGGGTCCGGCCTTCGCTATGACCCCGGTCCATCCTGCCACACTCTGCACCTCTTCCTCCCTCAGGCAAATATATCGAGAACCACGGGGTGGTTCACAACATGTACTATAACACCACCAGCAAGGTGAAGCTGCCCTACCATGCCACGCTGGGCATCCAGAGGTGGTGGGACAATGGCAGTGTGCCCATCTGGATCACGGCCCAGAGGCAGGTAATGTCACCCCCACCCACACTGACATTGCAGAGCATGGGGGCACCTAGGCCCAGGCGAGGCTTGGAATTATGTGAGATCCACGGCAGGTCCCTTCCCCACTCCAGGGTCTCGGGGCTCCTGGCCTACCCTAGCACAGAAGAGTGTGAAGTAGGGCCCCAGAATGGGCAGGTGGTGGGTGCTGGTGAGGACTAACCAGTGAGCTATGTCCGGCTCGGCCCATGGACACAGCCCTGCCCAGTCCTCCCTGGGGGGCCCTGGGAGCAAGAGGGATTGCTCTGTCCCCCTAGTCGGAGGGAGAACTGCACCCTTGGGCCCTGCAGCATTGGCGGTGAGGGTCAGGCTGGGAAGATCATTGTGACTCAACAAGAAAGCATTTAACAATTACACGACTTTCTCCCTTTCCCACATCCCTGTCAGAGCTGAACGGCTAAATTCTAAGGGGCCAAAGATAAAATGAGAGGTGCGTTACAGTATTGACCCAGGACCGCCTCCCACCCAGTCTGCAATGCTCTGGGGGCTTCCTGGCCCAGAGGCGAGGCTTCCAGTAAACAAAGTCAGTGGAGGTTTCCAAGATGAGGCTGGAATAAACGTCAGAGCCCATGCCCACCCCAGAGCCAAGGTATCCACTCAAGCCGGAGTTCCCTCGCTCCAGAAGGATCCATAGACATACTCAGGGCTCCTTCCACAGGCTTGCAAGCAGGAAGCCAAGGTAGAGACCCTGGCATCTCAAGGCGCTTGATCCAATGAAAGAATATCCTGGGGGAGTGGATGGGCAGGTGGGGTGGACAGAGGGCTGGGGGGACAGACAAATTCTAAATAAAGCAGCAGTCGAGTTAGGGGCAGACAGGCGGCCAGGCAGAAGGCTGGAGGGGCAGGTGGATGGGACACAGGTGGACAGACAGACAGACTCATGCCCGGACCAGAGCCCAGCAGGGCAGGCCAGACTTCAGTTCAGAAGGAGATGCTTTCTGGACAGTGTGGCCTCGAGGCAGGCATCATAGCCCAGTGATGAGGCCGACACTGCGTATCTAGGAACATTTTTACCCTGATGTCTCGTTTAGTGCTCAAGTCCAGTGGGCACCTGTCACTTCCTCTATAAAATCAGGTTTTACCCCCCATAGAGCATGAGATCAGGGATGTTTTAGAAATTGAAGGCCCCGTAGCTGCAGCGAGGAGCAGGGATGGGTGGGTGGAACAGAGAAGGAGGCAGGTGGGGGACAAATGTGTTCACAGGCATGGGATGAGGGGCGCCCACTGAGGAGTCCTGTCCTTCACGCTGCCTTGTCTGGCAGGGTCTGAGGGCTGGCTCCTTCTTCTACCCGGGCGGGAACGTCACCTACCAAGGGGTGGCCGTGACGCGGAGCCGGAAGGAAGGCATCGCGCACAACTACAAAAATGAGACGGAGTGGAGAGCGAACATCGACACGGTGATGGCGTGGTTCACGGAGGAGGACCTGGATCTGGTCACACTCTACTTCGGGGAGCCAGACTCCACGGGCCACAAGTACGGCCCCGAGTCCCCGGAGAGGAGGGAGATGGTGCGGCAGGTGGATCGGACCGTGGGCTACCTGCGGGAGAGCATTGCTCGCAACCACCTCACAGACCACCTTAACCTGATCATCACATCTGACCACGGCATGACGACCGTGGACAAGCAGGCTGGCGACCTGGTCGAATTCCACAAGTTCCCCAACTTCACCTTCCAGGACATCAAGTTTGAGCTCCTGGACTACGGACCAAACGGGATGCTGCTCCCTAAAGAAGGGAGGCTGGAGAAGGTGTACAATGCGCTCAAGGATGCCCACCCCAAGCTCCACGTCTACAAGAAGGAGGAGTTCCCCGAGGCCTTCCATTACGCCAACAACCCCAGAGTCACACCCCTGCTGATGTACAGCGACCTTGGCTACGTCATCCACGGGGTGAGTCGCCTGCTGGAGGCACCACCTCTGGGGGCTCCCTCCCCGGGCTCTGGGTCTCCTTTTTTTGTTTGTTTTTTGTTTTGTTTTGTTTTGTTTTGAGATAGAGTCTTGCTCTGTTGCCCAGGCTGGAGTGCAATGGCAGGATCTCAGCTCACTGCAGCCTTAAACTCCCAGGCTCAAGCGATCCTTCCACCTCAGCCTCCTGAGTAGCTGAGACCACAGGTGCATGCCACCATGCCTGGCTAATTTTTGTGTGCGTTTTGTTTTGTTTTGTTTTGTTTCGTTTGAGACAGAGTTTCACTCTTGTCATCCAGGCTGGAGTGCAGTGGTACGACCTCAGCTCACTGCAACCTCCACCTCCCGGGTTCAAGCGATTCTCCTGCCTCAGCCCCCTGAGTAGCTGGGATTACAGACGCCTGCCACCATGCCTAATTTTTTGTGTTTTTAGTAGAGACAGGGTTTCACCATGTTGGCCAGGCTGGTCTCAAACTCCTGGCCTCAGGTGATCCACCCACCTCGGCCTTCCAAAGTTCTGGGATTACAGGTGTGAGCCACCACACCTGGCTGATTTTTGTATTTTTTGTAGAGACAGGGTTTTGCATATTGCCCAGGCTGGTCTCAAACTCCTGAGCTGAAGCGATCCTCCTGCCTTGGCCTCTCAAAGTGCTGAAATTACAGGGGTGAGCCACTGCGTCTGGCCTCTCCTTCCATCTCTATAGAGGCACTCCCTATTTCTAGCTGGCCCCCAGTCTGAGGAGGGTCAGCACTGAAGGGACACACCCTTCACGATGCAGTAGTGTGTGTGTGCACATCTGTGTGTGCACATCTGTGTGTGCCCCCCACATTCAGGCACCAGGCAGTGGGAGTGTGTGTGCACAACTGTACCCGTCACGTCCGAGCACTGTGTGATAGGCGTGTGTGTGTGCCCTACGTGTCCAGGGTAAAGTGTAGGAGTCCAGCCCCAAGGGTGACAGGGAGGAGGCAGGAAAGAGGCAGGAGCCCGACCTCCCCTCAGCAGAGAGCACAGTTGTGCTGAGCCAGAAGCAAAGCACAGATTAGGGAGCAGACATCCCCGGAAAGGAAGTGACCGATGGGAGCCAGCGTTCAACACCACCCAGGAGGCAGGGCCCGCAGCCTAGAGCTGCTCGCTCCACTCCCATTTACTCAGGGTCTGGTCTCCGTTCATTTAACTGGACCTTCCCTGAACTTCACTCTGTAGGGTGACTGATCTCCAGACGCTGAGAATTCAGGGAAACTGAGTCTTGGAACCCCTCCAGCCCCCATATTGGTGCTCCTTCCTAAGGGGAAGGGGGCGTTCGTAGGGTGGATAGGGTAGGTGGAGAGGGTCTCTTGCTCCCAGCAAGGACCCAGGACCCTTTACCACTCCCCGGCAGAGAGTTAACGTCCAGTTCAACAATGGGGAGCACGGCTTTGACAACAAAGACATGGACATGAAGACCATCTTCCGCGCTGTGGGCCCCAGCTTCAAGGCGGGCCTGGAGGTGGAGCCCTTTGAGAGCGTCCACGTGTACGAGCTCATGTGCCGGCTGCTGGGCATCGTGCCCGAGGCCAACGATGGGGACCCGGCTACCCTGCTGCCTATGCTGCACACAGGTGAGGGCAGGGTGCCCCAAATCCCGGCCTGCTCGGTGTGCACAGGTGTGCACACGTGGGTGCCTGCGTGCCTGTGACCAGGATACGCCTCAAACCCTGAGTGGGGCTGCCTCCCCTGGCTTTGGGGAACACTGGAATCCCTCACATTCCCACAACAAGTGACCTCTCAGGAGCACCTCATGCATCTCGGGCAGCACAAGAGGGCGAGCAGGAGGAGTGGGCAGCCTTGCTCAAGAAGGGGACGGAGGTGGCCTTCAAAGCAAGGGTGGCCCAGGTGGGCCTGCTGTGCAGAGCCCACCTCGTGGCTGCTGGATCCCCACTCCCCACTCCCCACCACGGCAACCTGAGGGCCTCCTTTCTAGAATCTTCCTGTATCAGCCTCCCACGCACACACACCTCCCCACCTGAACCTGACCCATCCTGGGGACAAAGGTCACCTGGAAACTGACAAGGTGGCGACCCTGGTGGGGGCCTGGCTGGAGAGGGCTGGGCCCTCCTGAGCAGGGCTGTGAAGTGCCGTGGTGGACAAGGGCCATGGGACCAAGGCGGCGGTGAAAGAGGAAGTGGGGGGCTCGTGGGGACCACCAGAGGACCCTGAGTCTACTGTGGGGGAGCTGGGGTGAGGAGCCATCCCTCTCTCCCTCACGGGTCCTCTGGCTTTCCTTAGAGTCTGCTCTTCCGCCTGACGGAAGGCCTGCTCTCCCGCTCAACGGAAGGTCTGCTGTCCTGCCCAGCAGCTGGGCCCTCATTGTGATGGGACTGCTGGGGACCACGATTCTTCTGTCTGAGGTCGCATAACGCCCCATGGCTCAAGGTCAGAGACCCAGAAAGCAGAGGCAGGAGGGTGGCCCCACGCTCCCTGGCCCTCCACCCTGATGTCCGGCCACAGTCCTAGGCAGCCAGAACTGAGCTGCCAGGCCCCACCCAGTGGGTGACTCCCACTAACCCAGCTGCCACAGAGAGGCGACCGATCACCCCTGAGATCCCGCGGCTGACCCTTCCAGCCTCTCTGCTCTGGGCTTGGAGGAGGTCTTTCCAGAGCAGACCACCCGGACCAGTGGCCAGAATTCCCACCCTCCCCCAAAAGCCAGAACTCCCTCAGCCTCTGGCCAGAGCTGCTGCCTCCCCTCGTTCTTGCCATCTCTGGGCTCCACTCTGGGGATAGCTCGGAAACCGTCGTGTGGGGTGCGTTTGGGAGGATAGCTCTGGGGCTGTGTTCCTGGAACTCTCCGGGAGCCTCCTAGGACACGCGTGGGGTGTGTTTGGGAGGACAGCTCCAGGGCTATATTCCTGGAACTCTCTGGAAGCCTACCTCCAAGGACACGCGTGGGGTGCATTTGGGAGGAGAGCTCCGGGGCTGTGTTCCTGGAACTCTCTGGAAGCCTCTGAGGACAGTGCTCCCTTGTCTGTCTGTGCAGCCACAGCCTCCTAGACCAAGCAGAAGAAAGTCATTCATTCATCCCAAAAATATGTAACGGGAGCCAGCTCCATGCCAGGCTCTGGTGGGCTCAGGATACAAAACAGTCGAACAAGACAGTCCAGGCCCTGGAGTCTGGAACCTGTCATTTAAAGGCACAAGAAAGCAGAGGATACAAAAGCCAATGAATCCATGGGCAGAGTGCTCAGATGCTGGTGATGGCGGAGAAGAGACAGCCACAGGCAGCGGCGAGGCAGGCACTACCTTTTCATTTGCCCAGCGTGGAATGGCCTCTCTGAGAAGGTGGATTTAGGGAGAGATCAGAATGACAAGAAGCCAGACATGCCAGGCTCTGGGAAAGAGATTCCAGGCAGGGGAAAGAGCCAGGGACAGGCCCCACGGTGGGACAGGTTCGGTGTGTTTTGGATGAGACAGAAGGCCAGTGTGCTTGCAGGCTGGCACAGAGCGAGGCTCTAACAGGAGCTGACCACAGCCCCAAGGCAGGAGGTTGCTGGATACACAGCGGGGAGCCCCAAGCTGAGGTCACACAGGGTTTGAGGTTGCCGATTAAATGAGTGGGTCTCACTGCTGGGCCAGGGACAGAAACGGGAGCAGGAAGTGGCCAGTTTGGAGGTTGCTGCAGGGCCCAGCAGGACATTCCAGTGGCAAGGGTAGAGAAGCGGCAATGTGCACAGATTCCAAACACCTTTAAGAGGCACGACATTCGAGGTTTGTGGACAGATTATGCGGGAGGGTGAAGAAAGTAGAAAAATGAAGGATGGGTCCAATGCTTGGGTCTCGAGCCACTTGCTGACATGCTAAAATGTTGGGGACAGGAGTCGGGGAGGCTGAGACTTGCTTCGGCCGTGATCAGTCTCAATGCTGGTGGCGCGGCCATGTGCAGCTGTTCCTGGGCACGGGTTGTGCAGAGGAGTCCACACCCAGGGATGCAGTTGAGTCTGGCAATTTAAATTTGAGACTTGTCAACACAAGCTATGGGACTCAATGAAAGCCCCCAGCCAGAAGGAGTGGACTGAGAAGAGATGGTGACCACACCACTCACTGAGAAGGCGGGGCTGGTGAGACAGGAAACGCCAAGAGCTTTTCATGAATCAAGAGGGGAATGAGACTGGGCAAAATGGTTTCCACCTGGAATCCCAGTACTTCCAGAGGCCGAGGCAGGAGGATCGCTTGAGCCCAGGAGTTCAAGACCAGCCTGGGCAATATAGTTAGACCCTGTCTCTGTAGGAAATTTTTTTTTTTTTTTTTTTTTTTTTAGGCTGGAGTGCAGTGGCGTGATCTCGGCTCACTGCAAGCTCCGCCTCCCGGGTTCCCGCCATTCTCCCGCCTCAGCCTCCGAGTAGCTGGGACTACAGGCGCCCGCCACCACGCCCGGCTAGTTTTTTGTATTTTTAGTAGAGACGGGGTTTCACCGTGTTAGCCAGGATGGTCTCGATCTCCTGACCTCGTGATCCACCCGCCTCGGCCTCCCAAAGTGCTGGGATTACAGGCTTGAGCCACCGCGCCCGGCCAGGAAATTTTTTTTTAATTAGCTAGGCATGGTGCTGCGTGCCTATAATCCCAGCTACTCGGGGGGAGACTGAGGTGGGAGGATCGCGGGAGCCTGGGAGGTGGAGGCTACAGTGAGCCTTGTTCTTGCCACTGCACTCCAGCATGGGCAAGAGTGAGACCCTGTCTCTACAAAAATAAATCAATGAAAGAGAAAGGAGCAGGTTTAGGGTTTAGAGAAGTAGGAATGTGGAGATGTGTGTGGTGGAGAGGACCATGCATGCCAAATGTCACATCCGGAAGGGGAACAAAGGACCCTTCAGCCCAAACCCCTCCTGCAGATGAAGATGCCGGAGCCCAGAGGCGTTAGCTGACTGGTCCAAGGGTGCCAAAGAGTGGCCGGTGGTGTGTCAATGCCAGTTTTAAGGTCCTGGTCCCGAGTACTTTCAGCCACAACGCCTGCCTCTCTGTGCTCAGGGGCTTGGGTCCTTGAAGCAAGTCTTCCAGCACTAGGCAGGGACATGATAAGGTTTCCATGGCGCCAGAGTCCACAACCATTTGTTCTCCACATTAACCAAGAGAGGGACTCAGAAAACGTCATTATTCAGACTCACACACAAGGAAATTGAAGCACGGAAAATCGAAGACCACGTGACACTGCACATTCTCACAGGGCTTTTCCCCAGAGGGGCAGTCACAGCGGCGTCCCAGCAAACCGGCTCTCCAGATACCCCTCAAAAAGCCCTGATGTTGGCCCTTACCCATTTCTGTGGCATCAGTACTCCCACCGTGGCCCATTTTGAGCTACCAAAGTGAGGTCACTGAACACAAAGTAGGGAAGAAGCCTGCAGAATCATCTTTCGCAAGCAGCATCTGCTGGGCTGTGCAGGTGGCTAAGAGCTGGGGGGTCCGAAGTTTTCATTACAGCCTGGTAAATTCCATTTGGAACTAGGCTGTTTTCTGTGGCCAGCTTCTTTTCTTTTACACAGATTCTCACTGTGTGGCCCAGGATGGGGTACAGTGATGCAATCACGGCTCACTGCAGCCTCGACCTCCTGGGCTCAAGCAATCCTCCCACCTCAGCCTCCTGAGTAGCTGAGACTACAGGTGTGCACCACCATGCCCAATTAATTTTTAAATTTTTAATTCTTTTTTAAAAAAGCAAGCTGTGTTGCCCAGGCTGGTCTCGAACTCCTGGCCTCAAGCGATCCTCCGGCCTTGGCCTCCCAAAGAGCTGGGATTACAGGCATGAGCCACTGGGCCCAGTTCCTGGGCCCGTTTCTTTTCTTTAAAGGTAATGTTGAAAGTACATGTGGCCAGTTAAGGGCACATTGTGGAACGGACGCAGTCCTTGCCCTGACTTTACAGCGTCCTCCTTCTCCAGCTAGAAAAGCAGACAGAAGACAAGGGGAAGCTCTTCCGCCTCCTGGGATCCGCACACTGCCAGCCAGGCCTGGGACAGTGCTCACCCCTCGCCTCCCAGCCCTGGGAGAAGGGTCTGAAGCCTCACATCATCACGCCACCCCCATGTCTACACCTGCCGCGCACCTGTGCCCTCCCAGGAATCCCCACACAGGCCCTTCTCCGCGCAGTCTGGCAGCGCTGCCCGCTTCCACTGCCTGCCGCCCCACCGTCCCCACCGGCCCCCCAGCCTGTTTCCCACGATCCCTCCCTCCCAGTCCAATCGCACCTCTGCTTCACCTGTCCCATCAGACCTGCCCTCAGCCTGCCCCATCCTCTCCTCCCAGGCCAACTCGTGCTGTTTGCTGTTCCAGGAAGCCTCCCGGAGCTGCCCGTAGGCCCCGGGCGGGCTGTCTCGCTGTGATGCTCTGCTGGTGGCGGACGGACCCTGCCTCCCCAGCTTATCCCAGGCCAGAGGCTGCATGCCACTGTCCCCGGCAGCACCAGCCCCTGCTTGGCTGTTATGGTGCTGGTAATAAGCCCCGCAGCCCAGGTCCAGGGCCTCCAGCGCGCAGGTCCCATAACCGGCCCCCGGCCCCTGCCCCTCCCACTCGGGCCCCTCCTCCTGCAAACCCCGCTCCCGAAGCGGTGCTGCCGTCTGCGGCCACGCGGGGGCACGCGGGAGCTCTGCGGGCGCGGAGACCTGCAGACCCGGCCTCGGTCACCTGGGAAGGGCCCGCCCCGGCACAAAGCACCTGTGGGAATAAAGGCCAAGCCGCGACAGTCAGCACAGGGGAGCCTCTTCCCTAAAGCCTGCTGGTTTCCCGACGGTCCCACCATTGGCCCCAGCGCGGGATAAATCTCTAACTCCTTGCCAGGCTTCACAAGCCCCAGGGACCCCTCCATTCTCGTTAGGGGTGGGCCCTGGTTGGACGGCTGCCCAGTCCTGGAAAAGGGGTGAGTTTCCTAAAAGGAACGGGGGAAGGCATGAGGAGGCTTTTTTGAACGACAAGGGAAGCAGCATCTGTAAGCCACAGTGCTCAGCAAGAAATCACGTTAAACAAGGCGGAAACACCGCAAAGAAAGTCGCGCGGATTGGCTCTGACACGGGACGGGGGTGGCCGTGGCCAGGAGCCAAGAGACCCTTCGGTTAAGAGCACAGGCTTTGGAGTCAGATCAACTCATGTTCCAGCCCTGGCCCCCCACCAAATGCTGTGGCATTGGCAAAGCAGTTGACCCTCCCCAGCCTCAGTTTCCTCATCTGAAAAAGGGAGATAATGAGGACCGTGCCCACCTCCCTGGGGTACCTGAGAGTGAGGTGGGCACATTGCGGGGAGGTTGGCACAGAGGCTGGCCCCAAGCAGGTGCTCAAGAATGGCAGCCCCTGGGAGGATTAAAATCCTGCCCTGGGAGGTGCTGGGTTTGTCAGTGCCACTCCGCAGAGTAAACCAGCTGGGACGCTGGGAGACACAGGCTTTGAAGTCTGAGTTTGTCAGATCTGCCTATTTCCCTGCCTCCAAAGCCCGTGGCCCCCAGCCCCCACCCCCACCCGGGGTCTCCTGCCTCTGCCTGTGGCTTCAGCTCCATGGAATCTCCAGGGCCCATCCCAGCCTGCTCTCCGCAGCAGCCTGACCAGAAGCCCTGCCTCAGCCTGAAGAGCCTGGACTTTGGTCTGGCCTGTGGGCCCCCTGGCCCACAATCCAATTGCTCTTCCTGGAAGGACTGCCCCGGTCCCCATGCCAGTGCCTGCAGCCACACCCCATGACACCCAGGCCAGCCACCCACCTGCACAAGCTCTGGCTTTGTGGCTGGGCCGGGGTTAGAGGCGGGGGACCCTCCCTGGACGGACCCAATTCCAGTCTCGGCCAGCCTGAGCCTGCCCCCCGCCCAGCCAGAGGAGACCAGGTAGAGTCCACATCCACGTCCTCGGAGTGATGAGCACTCACGGGTGCCGGCATTGCCACTGCCCGGTCTCCAAGAGAAGCCCTGCCTTCCTCTGAGCCCCCCGACCACCACCACCACGTTTGCTCAGCCCTGTTCGTCAGCGTGGCAGGGGTTAGGCCAACAGGAGCTGTGAGAATTGCTTCATCCACAGAAGAAGAAAAGAAACAGAGAGGAGAAAGAGAGGAGAGAGAGGAAAATAACCAAGTCTGTCTCACATTCAGTATTCCATTACCCCAGATGTCTGGTGTCACAAAGGCACCGAGAGTCCTGGTGGCTGACCGAGCACTCGCTGATGGAGCTTCGGGGGTCAGGAGCGGGGGGCTGAGGCCTGGCTGCATGCACGGGGGGCTGATTTTCCTATCCGTGCCGCCCTGGGTGTCAAATGTCAGGGGTGCCGCCCTGAGCAGCACAGTCCCAGTTCAAATCCAGCTCCCCTCTCCAACACCTGCTCTGTGGTCCTGGGCAAGTTGCTAACCTCTCTGGGCCTGTCCTCCTCTGTAAATCCAGGACCAGTGGCAGGACCTGTCTCATAGGGTGGTCTCAGTGATAACATGAGTTAATATTCACAAACAGCTGCGAATAGGGCCTGGTACGTGGAAGGCCTGGGTATTAGGAAGAGACAGGGCGGCAACTACCTTGTATCAAATCGTGAGAATGTCATTCACTCTTTTAGACCCACCTCCAAGCCTTCTTGCTTCTCTAGCAGAACGTTTCTGGTCCATGAACCCCACCCCTAACAGGTGTCTTCTGTGACATGAAGAGAGGACCAGGCTCAGAGCTCTGGCAGCCAAGCAACAGTATAGGATGGACGGTTGCCACAGCTTGATTTGCCTTGTATTTGTTTCTATAATCACCTTCAATTTTTGGTGCTACTTATTTTTCATTGACATCTGTTTTTTCTTTTTCCTTTTTAAAATTAACTTAAG